GATGGATCTGTAAATAGGGTCTCTATAGAATACTTTACCAAATATCAACCCCAACGAATAAACATTTTTCTCAACTTGAAGAAATATATTCTAAGAGACACTGATGGAAACGCAGACTTATCACTATAATTACTACAATTCTCCTACAACAGTTTCCTGTAATGTTTGATTTTTAAGTTCCAAGAATGTTTAACCATCCCTCGTGAAAGGTCAATCGTAGTATGCGCGATGGTGACAACAACAGAATGCGACGACAACCGGAAGAACGTCTAGCATAATGAGTTATAAATATACGTAAGCATATATGCATATGATATGTACATATGTACATGAGTGTTGGTTTTGTATACCCGCAAGTATATGTAGGAGAGTGAACGGAGAAGAAGAAAAATAACCGCAAACGTAGCTGATAAGCGGATGAAACACCAACGCATTGCCTGATTGGCTTTCACTTTCAATCAGCAGAAAAGAGCCGTGCAAAAAGAAAGAGTGAGGAAACGAGTGCGGGAGAGTGCTAAGGAGTAATTCAGCAGTGGGAGAGAGAGATAGAAAGAGTGGGTCTTACTAGACACCACATCAAAGGCATTGCAATCGATTCGGAGGGGGCGCACTTAATGGAATTAACATGCAACAAGAGTAACAGGAACAGCAACAGCAACAAACGTGTGTAAATTACGGTAAAACACTTAAGCATTAAGTAATGCAGCCGTGTGAGAGCGTACAAGCGAGCTAATGAGGTGCGACAATTATAACGGGACAGCTGTTGAGAGAGAGCGAGAGACAGAGAGAGATCCTCCGCTCGCGGTAGAAGAATGCAGAGCGCTGTCTGGATGTTTAAGAGGGGAGTGGGTGCTTACCTTTTACGACGTTTCTTATACCGTTTTATGCGCTGTTAATTTGGAATTTTTGCAACAATCAGCTGATAAGGCTATGTGTGTGTATGTTTGATAAGAGCAGCGGTACCGCTTCCACCTTTCCTCTCTCTCTTACGTTCTTAGGGCGAGCACACAGACAGCATAAACAATTTGTATGGCAGAAGAAGAGTCTCTCTCGTGGGTCGTCGTCGCGCGACAACGCCTAGAAGGCAATTTTCCGGCTTTTCAGGAACGCGGTGGCGGCTGCAGCGTCAGCTAGCGGCACGCTTTCTCGCTTTTGGCTTTGGCTTTGCCTTTGATTTTTCCTTTGGATTCTGGCTTTTGCTTTTGCGCTACCTGGCTTTGCGCGGGCTGCTTCTGTTGATGGATATACTATATTTTTGTGTTTTTCTTTTCAATTTGACCGCATTTGTCGAATTTGGTTTTCTTTTTGTTGTTTTGCGGCTCTCTTTGGCCGACACATACACTGGCACAGCACAGCACTCACACACACAGAACACACGGGCGCGCGGCGACACACAAACAAACCTATACACACGGCAGGCAGCGAGAAGAAATTTTTACGGGGCCAAAAATCAGTTGACAAAGTCGACTTGATTGCGGGGGCTACTGAAACACACGGCACACGAGTCAAAGACGAGCGGGGGGTGGTGTTCGAGCGCAATTGAACTTATTTTTGCATACGATTGCAATACACGCGTCTCACTCGATTTCTAGTAAATCATCCGCGATTGCAGAAGTGTACGGGTAAGAGTATGCGAGTTTTTGCGCAAGAAGTAAGTGAGCGCAAGGTATATACACATTTGGGGTAGCATTGCGACACTGGGCAACCACTAAAGCCGAAATATCTGGCTTTTTCAAGTAGCGGGAATTATGGAATTAGTTTGTTTTAAAATTTTATCATTGAAATGTATGAGCAGTACGACTTTTTCTATTGTGTTGACCAAGTTTCAACTACATAAACACTGCTAAAAGTAACTCCAAATTGAAAAACAATTTTTAGCTATTTTTTAAAATAGCATTTTGACAGAAATATTGGCAACACTGCTTGAAAGAACGAACGAATCATTTGTGCGCATGGTACAGCAATTGATCGGGTGGGGACGTGCATACAATGGTCAGAAAAATGCTTTATTAGCTAATTTCCCCTCCACCTTCTTTTTACTCTAACCACACAGTGTTTAGAAATAAATAAATTATTATTTTAGGTATGCATTCTTTGAAGATAACAACTCTTTCTTCAAATGGTGTACGTGAACGCATGGTCTAGCCATATTAGGTAGGGAGGAATAGCTAGCCAGCTGTTCAGTCACACACATGTTGCATACTCTACCTTACGATTAGGTAAGCATATCGGTTTTCAAAGAAAATTCAATGAAAATACAAAAAAACAATCACAAATGGTACCCATTTACAACAAATATAACAAATTTATTTGTTTATCACACCGGATTCCCATGTATGTTATAAAGCCTAGACGAAAGGTCATCAATAAGTCATTGCAGCCGCCTCCAGCCGGTAGATTTTAGGTAACGCTGCCGCCTGGTTCCCGCTGCTGAACCATGATTTTCACGAGGAAAACAGTGAAGTTGCTGAATTACCGCCTAAAAAGCCTCGACTTCGCCCGCCTAAGTGTTCATCGATGCCTCCAGAGCAGCGCCGCCGGGGATGTGCCCTCCGTGGAGGTGAACTTCAGCAATGGGTGAGTGTCCATGCGCCCAAATAGTGTCGTCTCCACAGAAGATCATTCTCCTCCTCCACAGACGTAACATGACAATCAGCTCGGGGAAGCTGGCGCGCTTTGCCAATGGCACAGCCGTCTGTCAGATGGGAGACACCGCCGTGATGGTGACGGCGGTGGCCAAGGCAAAGCCCACTCCCGGCCAGAACTTCATGCCGCTGGTGGTGGACTATCGCCTGAAGAACGCCGCCTCGGGGCGCATTCCCATGAACTTTATGCGCCGCGAGTTGGGGCCCTCCGAGAAGGAGATCCTGTCGGCGCGCCTGATCGATCGCTCGCTGCGTCCGCTGTTCAACAAGGATTACCGCACAGAGACGCAGCTGGTGTGCAACATGCTGGCCATGGATGCGGTGCACTCGCCCGACATTCTGGCCATCAATGCCGCCTCCATGGCGCTCTCCCTGAGCGACATACCCTGGAATGGACCGATTGGAGCTGTGCGGTGAGTGGAGACTTTTCCGGAGTAGAATCACAACTGAGTTTTGGTTTTAGGGTTGGCCTTTGCGATGGCGAGGTGCTCATCAATCCCACACGCCGGGAGCTGCAGTCCTCGCAGCTGGACCTCGTGGTGTCGGCCACCAAACAGAACCTCGTGGTGATGCTCGAGGGCAAGGGGAATGTCGTGCTCATGCAGGACCTCCTGAAGGCCATAAAGCAGGGCACGCGGGAGGCACAGTTCATCATCCAAGAGATCGAACGCCTGCAGAAGGCCTACGGCAGACAGAAACGTGAAGTGGATTTCCCGAACAAAGTGGATACCGAGCTGCAGGAGGCGGTGCGCAGCATGTGCGAGATGCGGCTACGAGAGATCTTCCAGGATGCGAACCACGACAAGATCTCTCGCGACAATGCTGTGAATGAGGTGCGCTCGCATGTGATCGACAAGGTGTGGTCCTCCTATCCGGACACGGAGCCATCGGTGATCGGCGAGGAGTTCAATCAGACCTGCCGCTCGATCTTCCGCGAGCTGATCTTCGAGCGGAATTATCGCTGCGATGGCCGGGACTATGATACGCTGCGGAACATATCCTGCCAGGTGGACATGTACAAGCCGCTGCATGGATCGGCTCTGTTTCAGCGCGGGCAGACGCAGGTCTTCTGCACCGTGAGCCTGGACTCCCCGGAGAGTGCCATGAAGCTGGACTCGCTGGCCGCTCTGGACAGTGGCGGCCTCAAGGCCAAGAACTTTATGCTCCACTACGAGTTCCCGCCTTACGCCACGGGGGAGGTGGGCAGGATTGGGCCGCTGGGACGACGAGAGCTGGGGCACGGCGCCTTGGCGGAGAGATCTCTGCTGCCCACATTGCCACATGATTACCCCTTCACGGTGCGCCTCACCTCGGAGGTGCTCGAGTCGAACGGTTCCAGCAGCATGGCCAGCGTCTGCGGTGGATCCCTGGCTCTGATGGATGCCGGCGTGCCGGTGAGCGCCCCAGCGGCTGGCGTGGCCATTGGTTTGGTCACCAAGTACGAGAACAACGACACGAAGCACCTGCAGGACTATCGCATACTAACGGACATCCTGGGCATCGAGGACTACATGGGGGATATGGACATGAAAGTGGCTGGCACACGCAAAGGATTCACTGCCATCCAGGCGGATCTCAAGGTGCCAGGGATACCATTGAAAGTGGTGATGGAATCGCTGCAAAAAGCCACCGATGCCAAGTCCAAAATATTGGACATCATGGCAGAGGCCATCCGAGAGCCACGGTGAGTGCCAAAAAGAATGGAATGCCCATCTGGGATGCTCACAGATTTCTCTTCTTTCAGCAAATATCCAAAGGATAGCTGGCCCGTGAGCGAAACCCTAAACGTGGAGCCGCACCAGCGCTCTAAATTGATTGGCCCCAGTGGCATGCACTTGAAACGCATCTACCTCGAGACAGGCGCCACCCTCACAGCCGCCGATGAGTGCAACTTTACCGTCTTTGCGCCCTCCCAGGCGGCCATGGACGAGGCCAAGGAACTCATCGAGGGGTACATGGTCAAGGAGCGGATCCCCGACCTCGAGTTCGGGGGAATATACACTGCCAAAGTAACAGAACTGCGGGATACGGGCGTCATGGTCATACTGTATCCCAGCATGCCGCCAGCATTGCTGCACAATTCGCAGTTGGATCAGCGAAAGATTGGGCATCCCTCGGCATTGGGCCTGGAGGTGGGCCAGGACATACAAGTCAAGTACTTTGGCCGCGATCCAGTGTCCGGTTTTATGCGGCTCTCGCGGAAAGTGCTGCAGGGGCCAGCCCTGGGCATTCCTCGATCATTCAACAAGGCGGCAGGCGAGAATGGAACGTGATCCGAAGGATCTAGCAGCAACTTGTACAGTTTCTTGAGGCATACTTGAAACTTTATTTTTAGGCCATTTAAAGTTGTGTGTGTTTAAAACGTATATAAAATATATTAGATGAAATAATAATCCCCTGAATGAATGTGGGACACAATCTCTTTGCTGCCAGGCATCAAGTTTTGCTACTTAAATGTGTATATGTTGGACAATCAGTACAAGTAAATTATATATCTTAAAATTTAGTTATATGCGGGATAGGAATTCGCTTTTTTTTTTGGTACTTATTCTTGGAACAATCTCGTGGGGCAAAGGAAAAGAAAAATCTTACTCTTGAAACGAAGTAAAGTCGAAACGAAATGAATTTAGATGGCATCGCAGCACACAGCCTCTTGTATCAATTTAAGTTGAATTTTGGCCAATTAGAATATTGTTTTTTTAAAACTAATTTAAGCAGGTATTACTAGGTAATCCTTTCCTTTCGCTCCGTTCCTTTGGGTGCTCAAATAATCACACGATAGTAGGAATCGGATATGCTGTACAAGGCAACAATTGGTGTCTTGGCATCGCTCAGATAGTCCACAACTTCGTCATGTATCTCCGTTATATAACGTTTGTATTTTGGAAATCTAAAACGAAAGGAATCCACCATTAGAATCACATCTTTTGGTTGCCAGAATCATTACACAAACCTTTCGATAACAAAATTAAATTCCTGTTCAGTCTCTTTCTTGCGTATTTCGCGCGGATTTATGGCACCCACAAAGGCATTCACCACCGCCGGTGGCAGCTCTACAACCAGCACCACAAACGACTCCTTCTTCATGAACTGAGCCAGCGTGGAGCCCATCTGCTGGGCCACCTGGTTCTCCAGACGCCGCTTGTAGTTTGCCGTAGGTTTGTCGTGCGTGAGGAACGTAACCTGGACATTGGGCAGCTGGCTGTAGCTGTTCTTGATCGACACATTCGAGGCGGAGGTGCTCAAGCCATTCCCATCGCCACCGCCACGATCTCTGCCACTGCTGCTGCCACCGCCAGTGCTCAGGTTGGACAGCTGACTGGCCGAGTAGTCCACCGATGCGCCATTCGCAGTCTCTGCCCGCAGCAGTTTTTGTATAAAGTCCACCAGTTCTGCCCTGTTCACATGTCGCTCCTGGAAGCGCTCTCTTTCGAAGGAGCGCACCCGCAGCGAGCCGTTCTCTGCCACCAGGATGACATGCAGCGCTCCCAGTCGCGCCAAATCCTGTGCTTCATCGCCGGCACCGCTGGCCGTTTCCACAATGCCGCATCTGATGCCCACCGACCAGAGCAGGCGCATGATGTACGTCACATCCTTGAGCGGTGGCCGTGTGCCGCACACACAGATGCCCACATCGATGGCACGGCAATCCTTGGCATACTCCACACCCACTGCAGCCACCAGCTTGTCGAGAGAGAAGGATAATCCCGCGCCACTGAGCACACCACGCGGTGGCAGCGTTTGATTGTAGCTCTGCGCCTGCCGCTGGAACTCATGGAGCATGGCATCGTAGCGCTCGCCCACCGCCAGCACGGAGGGATTGCCCGAACGATTGGGCTTCAGGTCAGCCGTCATTTGCCACACGATGCCACCGCTGCTAGCGCGCTCAAAGCTGATGGGCAATCCAGCCCAAATGTGAATGGGACACTGGGAATAGAGCATTGAAATTACTTCAATACGAGATCTTTTGCATGCTTTAGACTCACGGTTACGCCCAGACTGTACGCCAGTTCGACCACAGTCTCCAGTTCGCGCAGTGCGCCACGCGCCAGAGATGCCGCCTCGCCCTTGCCACGCATCAGCGACTTCAGCGCGGACTCATCCACGCTGCTGCGTGAGCCCGTCAGCAGAAAGTTGGCCAACAGCATGTCCATCAGGGTCTGGGCCGAGGTGCGCGACTTCTCCATGATGACCGTAATGCTGGAGTGGAACTGAAAGCGTGAGATGCGAGACTCAATAAAGTCCATGGTTCCCTCGAACAGGGCACCGTATTGAGATTTGGGAACGTTGCAGAAAATGAGAATGGCCCTCAGTAAATTCGTGTGGTTCATGCGGATGGCAATGTTGCGTTCGCGCAGGCGCGGCAGTTCGCTGGTGATCTCAAAGGCCAGGGAGAGCAGTTCCGCATCCACCAGATGGCTGCCAGCGGAGGGTGTGATGATGTCGAAGGAGCACTCGTAGTTCTGCTTCGGGTGGAAGTTGAAGACGCGCTCCTCACGGTACACACGATCTACGCAATAGCGACGAATGAGATTCACTCCATTCATGGTGACATGGCGGGCAAACTGGGTCCGCAGATCGCAGGGCAGGACCACAACGCAGCCGGAGTGGGTCATCAGGTGCACGGCATTGGCATTGGCGCTGGCACTGCAGTTGCGCGAGGAAAGCGGCGACAGCAGCGGCGAATCCACTTCGATGGCTCCGTGCTTGCGGAAGAGATTCACGACTTTGGCCTTGACAAACTCAAAGACCGGATTGAGGGACACAATGTCGTCGATGACGATGGCCGAGTTCCAGGATTTCATGGCCCGACTGCTGCCCAAATGGTAGGTGTGCTCGAGCACCTCATCGCTCTCCTGCTGCAGGCAGCGAGCCACCAGATTCTTGTAGGCTTTGCTCTGGGGATTGGCCAAGGCATGGCGCAGCATTTCCTGCAGCTCATTGGCCTCCAGCTCCGCAGGCGGCACGAGGTCCGAGATGAGCAGCTCCTCTGCTGTGGGCCGCTGTGCGGGATCGTGGTTCAGCAGCCAGCGAAGCATCTGCCAAAGGAGATTTCAAAGTGGGTTTTAAAGTTTGAAATAGAGAGAAACGCCTCACCTTTACGGTCTTCTCGTATTTGACATCTTTCAGCATGCTCTCGGGTATCGTTATGCAGACATTCCTCAGTGCCATTATGGTCTGCGTTCGCTCCATGCTCGTGTCAAAGGGCGGCTGGCACATCTCAAACAGAATAATGCCCAGCGTGTACATGTCCACTTTCTGATTGTACACCGACTTGGAGGCATTGCCCGTCAGCTCGGGTGCCACATACAGTGCGGTGCCCACTTTCCCGGTGCCCGTGCCATCCTCTGTGCTGGTTATGTGCGCCGGCTGTGCCGGCAAGGGATACTCGTGGGCCTGCAGGGCCAGGAAACTTGTGGTGGCTAGTCCAAAGTCTCCAATTTTGATTTGATCATGGGAATCCAAGAAGATATTCACAGGCTTCAGGTCACGATGGATGATGCCCTGCTGATGGATGTGGGAAAGGCCCTCAGCAATCTCCCGAAACAAACGCCACAAGCGATCTGTGTTCTCAAATAAATTGTCATCGATGGCGGTGCTAAAAGAACAAGAAGGAAAGAGATGAGAAAGGGATTTCTAGAGCAGATCGGATCCTCTGCTCACCGCAATGTGCACTTCTCACAGAACTCCATTTGGATGTACATCACTTGCATTAAGGGACGCGGCGAGTGGGCTCTGCCCCTGGTGGAGTCATCATCGTCGTTGTCCTCGTCATTGTCGTAGACAGCCACCTGACCATCTGAGTCCACAAACTCAATGCCATCATCCGAATCGGAATCCTCCACGGTGGGTCTACGAAAAAACAAACACTTTAAATGGAATCAAACGGTGGGGATTAGAGACTGGCTGCCTACATGTAAGCATTCCACATGCTCGACGAACTGTCCTCCTCCTCATCCTCTTCGACTGTGATGCCCAGCTGCGGGGATTTCGCTGGCTTCACGCTCAGTTCCTGCTGACTCTGTGACCACTCGCCGCCGAGCAGTTTGTCCATTTCCGCTGCATCGGCATCGTTCACGCTCTCGATCCAACTGTTGAAGTAACGCACCACATTCTCGTGATTTAGGCGGGAGAGTAGCTCCACTTCGCGGGTCATCTTTTTGTACAGTTGGCGACTTCTGGCGGGCAGCGGAATGCGCTTAATGGCATACTCCCTGTTGTCCAGGATGTTGCGCACCTTTAGGACATCCCCGAAGGCACCTTTGCCCAGATACATGAGCACCTCGAACTCGGTTCGCAGGCGGGATTGGCTCAGTGCCAGTGTGGGTATTTGGTAGGGCATGGGCGGCCCCGTGCGCTGTGCAGGAATGGAGTTCCTTTGCTGTGGCAACAGCTGTTGCTGCTGCTGTTGCTGGCCATTGTCCACATAGAAGCGCAGAAAGGGATGTTCTAGCAGCTCCGAGGCGGAGAGCGTGCGATCTGAATTGCATCTGTAAATACAGGCAGATTAGCAGTTGCCCTCAGGGGACATTTGCTGCCTCCACTTACTTGTCCACAAAGTCACGCATCTCGTAGCTATTCGTTGGCATCAGTGCCTCGACCAGGGCACCCAATGCTGGCAAATCCCCCTGACTGCTGCTCTGCCCGGCGCCTCCAATTAGCTCTAGAAGATTTGGAACCACCGAGAAGTCCGTGCAGCGCACCGTTCCCGTATTGTCCATGAAGACTGTGCTGTCCAGCAGATGGCTGTGACAGACGCCTTTGTTGTGGAGGAACACGAGGGCATCCAGCACGCCGCGGGCCACCATGCGCGCCCCGTCCATGCACCAGCCCAGCGAGGAGGAGATGCTAAAGACACTCGCACCCAGGAGGAAATCCTGCACCAGATAGACGAGGAGTCCCTCCTTCCGCTTTATGCACAGCACGCACTCGTACTGGATGAGGTTCTTGTGCTGCAGCTGGGACAGTGTGGCCACCTGCTTCTCGATGGAGGCAATCACATCGTCGACGCGGTGATTCCCCAAGCACTTGGGCTCGTTGCCCCAGTGGCACTTGCCGCTGCCGCTGCACGGCTGCTCGATCTGCGCGTACTTGATGTTCCACTCCGTGATGTACAGCAGCTGGCCGCAGTGCATATCGATGCCCACATAGGCAATAAAACCGCGCTGCGAATGACCTGCCAGAAGGGAAATAAATGAATACTTTCGCTTGGCAGCGGAACCCTGACCTACCCAAACAGCAGCCGCGCTGAATTTGCCGGCCCACCTTGTGGAAGTACAGTGTCTCTGTGCTGCGATGGTCCAGGCACTTGTTCGGATAAATGTGGCCACGGTAGTAGGGCGAGGAGTTTTCCGAACTCTCCGATGAGCTGGCATGTCGATTGTTCGACTCGCTCATGCTGCGACGCGGTTCTCCACGCCGCTTGGCCTCCGTTTTGAACATTTCCTTGCGGCGCTCCACCTCATCGATGAGCGTCTGCCGCTCGAGCGTCTCTTTTTGTATCTTTATGTCCAGCAGCTCCTGTTCCCGCTTCTGTTTGTCCTGCAGCATTTGATCGTAGAACGAACCCTTGGGCGGCTTATTGTGCTGCAGGAGAAAGGCCTGCACGGTCTGTGCCAGCTCGTAGATCATCACTTCGCCACGCAGCTCCTCCGATTGGGCCTTCAGCTGGCCACGCAGCGCGTCCAGCAGCTGATCCGACATCCCCTTGGACTCTTCCAGGGCGATTTTTGGTGTGCTGAAAGGAAAACTCGATGATTAGCCAAGGCTGTGGGCATGTCTCGATGCAGCTATCGCACATTTTTGGGTATTTGGAGGGACATGTTACATGCAGTTTGGTGCAGACATAGGCCTGCGGCTGACCATTGGACGAGTCCCGCAGCGGCGACAGCAGGATCTTGATGTCCGTGGGTTTCCATTGGTTGGGATCGCTCTGTGGCCGCAGATCCTCAACATCCGCACCGAATATGGCCTGTAAATGATAAACTCCGCAGTTATTTCGTCACTTTGGAAAATGCGCAACAGCTATCCCCCCTCTCCGACACCTTTATGACCTCCAGCTCCTGGGTCTGCCTGTCGCGGAAAGATTCCTTTGCTGCCATTTCGTCATCAAGTCTCAATTGGAATCTCAGAAGCCCCTAAAAGGGCAGGGAGTCGAAATAAAATACTGCAGAGTCGTCTGTGATTTCCGAAGTGTTATAATTTTTGCGGCCGGTGAAACGTTTTTTCTGCTCTAGCAGCTGTTTCCCCATCAGCTGCGAACTGCATAACTTTGTTGCTGTTTTCGCTTTGTAGCAGCTGCCAAATGTATTCCTAATGGAATTTTAATCAATTTTAGTGCACAAATAATGCAACTTGTTGCTTTTTTGAGAGTTTTTTTGAGTAAATTTTTTTAATTTTTTGTTCTAAAGCAGTGTGACCGCGGTTTTTTCGATCAAATATACCAAAGCCGCTCAGAAACATATGCTTCCGCGATATCGACATTTAAAGTTGGAAACTTTGCAGAAACAAAACGTGCCTGTATATCGATAGTCATCAGAATTAAAGGTTGATGTCGAGTTTTGGGTGACTAGGAAAGTTCTGCGCCGAATTTTTCCAGATATCCGTACTTTAAAATGGAATAAAATTAACAATAATTATAATTCTTTGAGTTATTTAAAGTAGGTCTTCTGGCTCTGAAACTATCGATACTTATGAGTACGCCATTGTGCTTTGCAATAATCGCAAAACTTCCAAGTAACGGTGCTTTGTTTATTTGTGCGTCTTTTGTGATGTTTTTGATTTTCTGCATTTTCGCTATATTTCCATTAAAAGTTATCCGCAATAATGGAGGAAACTCGCGTCGTAGTGCTACTAAGTAACACATCGACAGGGCAACCAGCTAAAGAGCCAACTGGCGATACATTCACTGGAACTCCGCCTGGACGGGGTCCGCCGCCACAGGTGGCATTCGAAAATGGTGGACAGGTTAGCATTTTGGATGAGAAAACTCTACGGCTGGTGTACTGCCAGAACGCCTCCAAGCCGCATCTGCTGATGGCCCAGAGTTGCCACTTTGATGTGCTCACCGACAAGGAGAACGAGAACGAGCTGCCGGCGGTGCTCCACGGCATGTTCGTGGATCGGCGTGATGGCTTCATTATGCACCTGAAGGTTGAGCGCGAATGTCACCTGATGTTCCTGCTTGACTCTCTGGTCATTCAGCTCAAAGCGAAGCTGCAGCGTGAATCCCTGAGGCTAGTTGGTGGAGCTGTGCGATTCAGGAAGCTGCTGGAGGATGACCGGGGCGGCGAGGGGGGAAACACTTTGGAGACGCACTTTGCGTTCAACAACATCCACGGGTTGATGACCTGGCTGCTGAATCAGTACCGTATGAGAGCGGACTTGAGCACGGGACCCGGCCACGAGGCCCTGGAGGTCGAATACATTGTGTCCCACTTGGAGCAGGATCTCAAATTTAATGCGCGACTTTATGTACTGCTTGTGGCCATGGAGGAGCTGAGTGTGAGCTCGTTGTGTGGTTTGCGTTGCTACTTCAGCGAGGATTTGCTGACTTCCGCTTTGGTGCCCACGCAAGTAACATCCTTCATCCAGGATGCAGCGGATCAGGCGAGCATCAAGCCCCTGTACATGATCGTGCTTTTCCATGTGATGGCCAAGGGCAGCCAGGTGGATGCCAAAAATGTTCAGCTTCTGAGTTTGGCGCATTTGATTAGCCGACGCCAGCATTCGCTGCATCAGAATCAAATGGTGAGTGGATTACTTACCCTTTGGAATTGAATTCATTTCTCATCATTCGCTTTCAGTCTTCGACTAGCAGCTTGTGCTCTCAGCCAAGCCAATCTGAGATGTGTCAGCAGGCGCTTAACGATGGCTTCAAGCTTGTACACGACTCCCTCCTGCAGTACGTGCGCCAGACGGAGCAGATGAAGCATTGCCGTCAAGTGTTCGACGAGCAATTGGCGCAGTACGAGGAGCTGCTCCTGCAGATAGCCAACACGGAGCTGCGACACATGCTGCAGGCCTCCCAGTCGAGTCTACTGCAGCTGACCAGCCTGTTGGAGAAGCGTTCGTAGAGAATCTTCATTTCTTCTTTGTTGTATCCGTAAATATAACTTTTCAAATATGTTTTACTCCTTTCCAAATCACTCATAATTGATTTTTTAGTTTAAATTTATAAAGATCATGCCATAATCTATAAAAAAAAAACCATTTTTAAAGCAATCAAAATTTCAGTTAACGATATTTTGCGTATTTGTAAATCTGAAAATGAATTCGAAGGCGACAAGCAAGCGAATGCATCATGTGATGGTTGCCCTAACAGAATCGAATCGTCGCTACCACACCGAATCGTTGGAGGGCAGCAGCTTGGACGGTGAATTCAAAATACTCGATCGGAAATCCGTGCTGCTGCGCATGCCCTCGGCAGCGGCAGGGACATCCAAGACGAAACAGGCAGATGTGCCGCGTTATTATCGCCATCTCGAGTTCGATGCGATTGGCTACGACCACGAGCCGCATGTGCGGGATCAGTTGAGCGATCTGGTGGAGAACATGTTCCGACAGCGTCTTAATGGGTGTCTGCTGCGTCTGACTCCGCACCGCTCTAGCAATATAAACCTGTTGACGCGCGTCTTGGTGAGCGAGGTGGATAGCATAATGCTGTTGCTGCGCTTCCGCCTGAAGTCCATCAATGTGGACTACTTTGATCTGCGCAAGTTCGACATGGCCAATATGCTGCTGGAGCCAGGTGCATCCATGCAGTCGCTGAATCGTCGACATCGAGTACATCAGAGCGGGCGCATTCTGCAGAGCACACGAGAGCTGCTGCAGTGGCTGCTCAACGATTTCACCACCATCCGGGGCCGGGCAGTGGGCGACGACTACATTGACATTCAGTTTGTCTTTCGCGATGGTCAGCATGCGATTCGCAAGCTGCACTTGACCATTTTTCAGGTGATTGGAGGTGAGGAACGACAGGAGATGGCAGACTTCTTCCGGTCCTTGCCTCTGGGGAAGCAAAGCAACAGCACGCTGCTCACCGACTGCATCCGAGAGTCGTTCGACTTTCAGCGTCCCATTCGCACTGTGGTGATGTTTGAGCTGCCGCTGGGACGGGAATCGCCAGCTCAGATGATGCGGAAAATACTGAAATTAGCCGATGTGGCGTACGTGTCCATCGAGAAGGCACACAGCGCAGCCAAGAGTTCAATAAAATCAGCATCACGGAGCTCCACGAATCTGCTGCTGAATATCACGCCGAGTTGCAGCTTCAGGAACACTTTCCAATCAGTGCCAAATATTTCAGACCCTTTGCTGCGTCGCGGGCGGAAACTCTCGAGTGAGGACTACAACAGCCTCGCCTACTGGTACAATCGCATCGACTCGAAGCTTCTGGAACTGCAGCTCAGCATGGATGACCACTATATGGCACTGTACCGCCGAAAGGGTTTGGAAATTTGCAACGAACTTCGATCCATGGAACAGCATGCGGATATAGAGACTAACGAAAGCGGCGGCGATGATAGGCCGCTGGCAAGGACCATCAACCAGGAGGAGGAGCAGGCCTCTATGAGCATGTACACGGAGTTGCTGAAGCAGTTCCGCAAGCTAGAGATCGATGTGAAGAGGACAGCCTTTGCCGCCACATTGAAGGGTTACATCAGCAACAAAAACTACGAACTGGCGGAGATGCAGAAGGCGTTCAAGCTCAAAGCAATTGCAAATATGAGACAACATTTGATTGAGTTTATGAAATCAGAACAGGAACAGGAACCAAACTTGAACTGATCATTACAGCCATTTGTCTGAGTATTGTCCAATTGTTCAAGAAATATAAAACACAGGATTTGTAAGGGGTATACGTAGGTATATAATTTAATATACATTTATATATAAATACAATATTATTGTCAACAATATGTTTCATAGTAGTTTAAACAGATTCCCCAGCTGCGGCTTCCATCGTGTAGTACGAGTAAATGTGTAACGTGGTTACGTACTTGAATGCTAAATAGGCAATAATACGAGTTATACGGATTAACACTCTTGCGGGGGCATGGGCATTCCCTTACCCCCTCAATAAATGTATGTAAAGACACCCAAAGCAACAACAACAACTAATCAATGCTGAAATCAATGCTAGAATTCGATTCGTATTCTCGTATTCGTATTCGTATTCGTAGTTAGACAACAATATTCCAATATTTTCAATATTATTATGATAATATGTGTGTTTCTGGGAATACTACTCTTAGTATTCTTTTCTCTCTGTTGGATATGTGAAGGGTAGTAGGCAATGTTCTCTGTGTTGGAGGCCAAAAGGTACCTGGATTTAATCAGAATTGTTTGTACAATTTCCTTAGGATATTTTCTCGACTCTAAGAAACCTCGCTACAAAACGCCTCTCTGATAATAGCGAACTAATAGCCTGCTTCCACTAGAGCACATTCGTTGAACAACGAGCACTACTCGTTGCATAAATTTCACATAAACAAACGGACTCAACGAACGATTGGGGTATATAAATGAAATGTGCTTCTAATGGAATTCGAAATAGATGATAGAAATGTTGTATCTTTAACTTAAACACAAATTGATGAAACAAAATTGCAGGGCCACTTAAGACTACATTAAAGAAAAGCGTAACATTAAAATTATATCGTAGAAGCTTTAAAATTAATAGATCCTTTTCTAAGAACTAATCTCAGAGCTCTGTAAATCTGCCAAATGAGTGAGTTTGACTCCAGCAAACTGAAGTATTTCCTAGGGTATTTCAATGCATGATATCTGTATGTATGGATATATCCTCTATCGTTTGTGACATCAAGTAAATTCTAGCTTAAAATTGAACAAGCAGAAAACATTTAACTATTCAAGAGGGGTTTCGTTATTATCTGTTTGATGGAATACTCGAAAGTCGTAAAGAGAAAACTCAAATTAGCACACAACTCTGGACCATTTTTGTTTTCCTTGTAATTTCCCATTCGTTTCACAGTCTTTCGCATAGTCCCTGGACAGCCCAGAGCTGTCTGCTGATTCAACTTTAGATTTGTATAAACCTACTGGACACTGGGCCTTGTTTCAACTTAAGAGATACATACATACAAGTGTATATAAAAATATATGCTAATTATATATTTTGTATTGCTGGGCCGGAGATCTCATTCTACAGTCTCCTTTCCAGGGAAGTTTTGTTTGTGTTTTATGTGTACCTAAAGCGCGTTTACTTGTATCTGTTGTCTATAATGTCGTATAATGCAATTTGGAGTGTGTGTTGTGTGTTTAAATGCTTTCATTTGCTGTTGGCTGTAGCTTGAATTTCTTGAAGAACATCCATCAATCTTTACACCTGAGCTGGTTTCGTTTGCTTTCCGAGTACCATGAGCAGCTTTTGTAGGAAGTGTGTGAGGCTTACTGTAAAGTTACAAAAGAGGAAAAACATCAACAGATTAATTGGATCTCTCAACAAGGGAAACAACTTTTATATCTACAGAGTATCTAGAGTTTCGTGGTGGGGGTGCAAAATAGAGTTTGGTGGGGTGCAAAATCTTCTGACATTAGTAGATGATTTATCTAGAAGTTAGTGCTGAAGTTAGAGGGCAGGCAACTTGAATGTTTAACCAAAAATAAAACTAGAATAAATAGCAAACTTAAAAACCTTGGACGACGCCTTGGGGCGCACAACCATCATCAGTTTCTGTAGGGTTTGTGTCAGTCCGCCTGTAAGAGTTTCAGAGTTGGGAGTACAGCGTGAATCGAAATGAAACCAAAGGAGGGAAAGCAGCTGCCTGAGGGACCGCATGGTCACCTGGACTTACCCATGGACTTCTGGAACCAGATGGGCTTGCTCTTCCATGCAATAAACACAAGATAGACGGGTATACTGGAGAGAATCATCAGAATGCCGTAGCCCGTCTCCACGGGACTGGCGTACATGGGCACAACGGTCACGAACATGGTGGCAAGCAAGTAGACGATCGGGAACACCAAGGGCACACGGATGGGACGTGGCAGATTGGGCTGTGCCCAGCGGAGCCATGGCAGGCAGAGAACAGAAACGCCAATGCTCAGCTGGAAAGGGAAACAAATTAGCAAGGGTATTGCGTGAGAGTCTCCCTCGACTCACCCAAGTGGCAAATCCAACGTAGTTGATCAGCGCAAAGATATCGGAGACGGTGAGGTACAGCATGGAGAGCAGAGCCATGGCCAGGACAGCTGGTGTCGGAGTGAATCTCTGGATCTGAATCATCGTAAGTATCTCAGGCATTTGTCCCTCATTGGCACCGGCATAGAACAGGCGCGAGGAGGTCAGCAGAATGCCATTCACAGCTCCAAAGGTGGACAACGCCACAAACACTTAAAAAGAGAAGAAAATGCATAAATAACACTGCAGAATGGGAGTCCTAAACGAGGTTGTGCACCCACCTGGTATGGTCCAAGCCAATGCTCCAAAGGCACGCTCCGCATAGGTAACCGCCACAGCCGAGGAGCCCATGACCTCATCTGGTGAGAGGATGGTGTAGAACGACACATTAGCCATCACATAGACGACGGTCACCAGGGTGCAGCTGATGGCAATGGCACGGGGCAAATTCTTGACGGGATCCTTCAGCTCCTCAATGATAAAGTTCAAGTAATTCCTGTCAACGATGCCAGCAAACAAATCCAATTAGTACTTGACCCGCTGCCCCATCAGAGAGACAGAGTCTGGAGCAAATAAGCCGCTTACCAGCCGTTGTACGCAAACAAGCCCGAGTAGAAGGACAGCGCCAGCGACGTGACTCTGGTGTCTGTGTTCTCGAATGTAAAGTACTGGACATTGCCCAGATACAGTTGATACATCCCAGTGGCAATGATGATGAACAAAGCCAGCAGCTGCATAAAAGGCAACACAGTTAAAGGCATTCGAGTAAGCCACTTTCAATCTTTCTTAACTCACTTTGGCATATGTGAAGATATCCTGCACAGCGGTGGCCCATTTAACGTCCCAGCAGTTGATTAGGGTCAACACCACTGTAAAAATGAAATGAAAATAAATGTAAACCCATCAGAGTAGTCACATAATATATATACGACTACGAGTAGATATCAGCCGGCATCA